GAATGAATGAATGAATGAATGAATGAATGAATGAATGAATGAATGAATGATGTCTCACCTGTAGTCATCAATTGCCACTAGAAATCGCACTATATCATGGTGACCTTTCAGCACAAGAAGCTCGGTGTAAGGATTCTGAGCTTGTTCTTCGCCAATGGTCTGTACAGATTTCTAGAAAAATAAAACTGAGTATCACACAATTTATTGTCTTAATGTTTCTACAATCAATAGATTTTGTCTACTTTCTATTACTCTTGGTCCTATCCTAACTACTGAATTATTTTAATATACAATTTATTTATGAACCGATTATTTAAAACAGGAATAGGCTATTTTTAAGACAAAAATGTCATTTCAAAGGAACCTTGGAAAATGGAAACTTCCTATGAAAAGGAACCTTGGAAAATGGAGCTGGACATGCTAACAAATTAACAGGTTTTTTTTACAACTCTGGAATAGCCCTTGTTATGAACACTTCACAGCAACCCTGCTAAGCATGGGGCTATCTTAATACATGGATAAGCCTCATACTTAGCAGGGTTGCTAAGTATCCATGCATCCATACATGTATCTATGTATCCATACATACATGGATAAGTACATTGGAGGCTACATTCAATGAAACTGGACCACTGAAATAAGAAATATTCTGGATTCCAAACACGATCATCCTCAGAATTCTTAAAAAATAAAAAAGAAATCATCACCATATTCTAAGTTGTTGAGTTGATGAAATGATAGGGTTAAATATTAATATGCAAAGTTCTGTGGTTTTCTGTGAGTATAATCAAATACAGATAGGGACTTGTTTTCATTCTTATTTAATGGTAATCAATGGCAGTAAAGAAATCCCATTTCTTCACCATGATAGCAACTGTACAATATCACCAATAGTATTTTTCTTTTTTCTTATATTGTTATAAATCTTGATACATTGTATTGAAATGTGTGTACGTGTATACGTCAATTGTATTGAAATGAACTGCATTTCAGTACAGTGATATTTATATGATATGATTAGTGATTATTAACATGTTATTATTTAGGCAGCTTAAAGTATTGAAAATAGAGAAAAGAAAGAAAAATTATATCAATATTAATTACAATTTAGGATGTCAATATCACAAGCATAAAATTATTTGGCTTTTTCATCCAAAATTAAATATCTCTAAAAAAAGAACCGCAGCAACTCACATAAAAGTATGGGTTATATACAGTAATAATTTTTACCTTAAGCTAATTACTTAATATTAAAATCTCCATTGTATTGTTACTTCATATATGTGTGTGTGTTTGTGTGTGTGTATAAAAGGGGGGGAATGGTGAAGCAATTTAACAAAAGTTAAAATACCTAAAAAGAAGGAAGGGAGGGAAGGAGGGAGGGAGGGAGGGGAAAATAATAATAAAAAATAACTATTGGTTTCTGACTCCCCCTTTTTATACATTTGCTACTTTGCAATATTTGTGGATATTCAGGCCACCTTAAAAGCCAGATGGTAAGTGGTTATATTTATCATGTTGAGTGATGTATTGAATGTATGGGAACCATTCTTGCTTAAATTTAGTTAAATTTCTATCGTGTAAATATAGTGTTAGTTTCGCCATTGCTGCGTATTCTCCAAGTTTAAGTTCCCAGTCAGATATTGTCAGGATTTTGTCTTTCTTCCAATGTAGAGCATATTTTATTCTTGCTGCTGTAAGCATATATCTAATTTAATTATGAGATTTCTTGTTGATTTTTTTCTGAGATTATACCTAGTAGGAAAAGTTGTGGTTTCATTTCAAATTTAAATCCCAAGATTTTCTGCATTACACTATGTCTTTTGAGTACTTCTGAGTTCTTCTACCTGTCTACCACATGTGGAAAAAATGTTCCTTCTGTTTCATGACATTTCCAGCATGTATTACGGTATGATTTGTCTATTTTAGGTATTATTGATGGAGTTGTATACCATCTATAAAACATTTTAAAACATCTATGGCATAGAGCCTGGATATCTGAGAGGCCGCTTGTCTCCAAATGTTTCTGCCCGCCCATTATGTTCCAGCAGAGTGGGTGTGCTCTAGGTCCCTTCCATTAAACACGGTAATCTTGTGGGACCCAGGAAGTGTGCCTTCTCTGTTGCGGCCCCCATCCTTTGGAACAGCATCTCCCCAGAGATAAGGATGGTGCCCTCTCTCCTAGGGTTCTGGAAAGCTTTGAAAACCTGGCTTTGGTCCCAGGCCGGTGGTTGTTGTTTATGATTTGTTTAAAGGCTCCTGTCTTGTTTTGTTGATTTTGTTGTTTATCAGATTATTTCAGTCTGGGCTGTCTGTCTGATTTTATGTTTTTAGCTGTTTTTTTTTTCTGGCTTTGCCACCCAGAGCCCACTGGACTTGGGCGGCCAAGAAATTTAAATAAATAAATAAATAAATAAAGTACCAATTTTCCTTTAAGTTATAATTTGGTATTTTTAAAGTAGTGAAAAGACTTTTGTATAAAATCCAGTGAATCTTTAATGAAATTCTCAAAAGCTCTCTGCAATCAATCTTCAATTATTTGTGCTAGTAAAATACATTTACAATAACTGAGATACTATAGGCTCTTCCTCATGGCCATGTTAATGTAATTCTATTGGATGGATGGATGGATGGATGGATGGATGGATGGATGGATGGATGTCTAATTCTTGAGCTGGACAAAAAATATGTTGCATTATTTGCACTGCCCTGACTGCTAAGTTCTTATCTGCCTCAGTAATGAGCCTTGACCTTACAGCTTTACTGCAAGAGAATTTAAGGGCAATAATTAGTGGATTCCCCTTCCCTTCCTACCCAGCATCATCAACTGGTGGGAGAAAACATAATCATTCTCCTTAAAGTGCATCAGGGCAGGCTTAAGTGAGAATAGATGAGTGCTGGGGATAGAGGCTTTAGCAACCTCACAAGTTGCCAGAGTGAGAAGTTACTCAGAAGACTAATGACCCTTTGTTCAAAAATAACCCAGTTGGCAAAGGAGGTGCGCAGGATGAAACAGGAGGACCTTGTCCCACACATGATCTCCCACCCACTTCACCCTCATCTGCCCTCCACCCACTGTTCTGTTAGCTGGGCTATTTTTGGACAGAAGTTTAACAGCCACCCAGAAGACTGGTAGACTGGTTCACTAGTTTTTCTGTGCTTAGACTACAGTAGAAGAAGAAATTGGCAAACATCTTGTCAATTTCACCCTAGTTCCCACATATCCCAAATTGTTGATTGTCTAACAGTACTGGCAGTGATTGGCTACAGTCTGTAGCATCTGGAAGTATCCCACGCAGTATATAAAATGGCCGTAAAACAGGTAGAATGGTACTGCCTCCCTCCCAATGTAATAAGATCAGCGGAGTCATGCAAAATCCACTGTTGACAGAAACAACATAAACATTTAATGATTCATTTGAAATAGAACCCACAATCTCTCTCTCCCAAGTTAAATCAAATGCCCCCCCCCTTTTTTACAGGCAGCAATGTATAGAAAGAGCCTACATAATGTCTGAATAGTATGAGTCAGACATTACATGCATAGAGGCCTCTGTGGAAATCAGGTGTCATTCTTTCTGCAACCCAAGCAAAAACAGCCATGGAAATAGGGTCCCAGTGACCAGAGAAAAAGGAGCAATCAGCCTCAACAAGTCAATAGGAGCTGATGCCGGTACCTGCCTACAATATCACCAAGACCTTAAATGAGATGTCACAAAGCTTTCATATGCCAAAACTTGTGTCAGTAGATGAAAAAACACTACTTAAACTGAGACAGCTAAGAACAAACTTAATTTGCCTCTATGATAGGCTGGAGATGAGGCAAAGACTACATCATGATGACATGTCCTCTAAAAATGATTAACCCAATGTCTTTGTGCTGCATTTAGTGGGACAGGAGGATGAACTATTCAGGTAGTCCTCATTTAGTAACCACAATTGGCAACTCTTCATATTATATGATACCATGAGCCATGGCCTGGTACCTTGACAGTTTTAGAGGGCAGTATAGGGCAATTTGTATTTTATGGTTTGGCTTTTGACTTATCCTAGAGTTACACTCTAATACCAATACCAATACCAATACTTTAATGGCCAAGTATAAAACATACACAAGGAATTT